AGCGAGAGAAAAGAACACTCACCCTTGAGACTCTCCATCACCGACAAAGCAAATGTTTCTGTTGCAGAAGGGGCAGATCGCATCCGATCCCACTCCGAGCCGAAGCTGGCATAACTGGGGATGATATAGTCGCCACCAGCACTGAGCTCGACCTCTTCGACTTGGTACTCGTCCTCGTAGCCCTCTTCTTCTGGAATGCCTGTTGATGGATCGACCTCCTTGCTGATGTACTTGAGTGTGCATTGGAAGGAAGCGATGGCATACAGGTCTGGGTTCTCGCGGGTGAAGGAAACATAGACGATCCCAGGAGAGGAAGCAGCAAGAGAAGGAAGAGGGATGATGAAGTCTTCCACAAGACCAGAGTCTTCTGATTGAGGCTGCATGATCACTGACACCTGCTCCAGAACAGTGTCGGGAATAGTATTGGAGATGTTGAACTGGCAAAGCGCTATCAATTACTCCATTCCAGAATTGAAACAAACTGAAAACCAACCTGGAAGACTACATGCTCCTTGAAGATATGCTTGACACAATTAACCTGGTACTCCGTTTCGTTTTCCGTAAGCTGTGCAGGGTTCGCGCTACTATTGAGCACAGGCCCATACGAGGCAAATTCTGGAACCTCGGCGAGCTGTTGAACATATTGCGACTGCTTCTCCGCTGCTGAAGGGGCGGCGGGTGCCTCCGCCGTTTTCTTTGACAGTGGAGCACCGATGGTGTCCAGTGTACTCGGGCCTTCGTGCGCCTCTGATCAGCAACCGCGAAGATGTGGTGGGTGTGAAAGTATGAAAATGCTTACGGGCAGCTTCCTGGGCGGCTTGGGCACGACTGATCTTCGGTACCGTAGAGACATCGAAGGGTTGCTCAGCTGCCGTCGGGTCCTTCACATACGCCACGAGTTTCGATTCAAGAGCCGCTAATGAGAAGACGGACTCTGTGGCAATGTCAGAATTCGTATCTTTGAAATAAGAGCAAGAACTTCACCTTCTTTGACATAGGCATCCGCCAGAGGCTTTGCCTTGAATACCTTAAGATACAGGGTGGCGCGGTCTCGAACCTCATCGTCGACATCATCGAGACACCTGCGAAATGGAGGATTTATACATTAAAAAGAACAGGTGAAATAGTCATACCTGTTGAGAAGAACGTTGACGCTCTTCTTCAACGCAGGCTCCGCAGAGTTGACTCCGAACTTGGCCAAACTCGTTACGGCGGCCGCGCGAACAGTCGCGTTCTCAAGCACAACGCGGTTGTAGATGAAGCGGATGTATTTAGCAGGTTGTGGCGACTTCGGTCCCTCGACTCCAAGAAGGTGCAGGATGCGAACAGAGAGCTTTGTGAACTCGCAGTCTTCGATAAATTCGCAGAGGTGTGAGAGGGCCTGCTCTTTGGATTCGGGAATGAATTTGATCATGTCGAACATAGCCTCAACGACGGCACGCTTGAAGTCGTAGCCACCCTCGTCTCTCAGAACGCCGGAGAGGAAAGTGAGCATAGACGCGTGCTTGGTTGGGAACTTGAGGCAGAGAGAACGAATGGCGTCGACGATGATGACCTTGAACTCGTCGCTAATCTCGGTCATGAAACCACTAATTTGTTTAATGAGGCGGTCGACAGAGGCTTCGTTACCGGTCTGAATGGTATGTTTAGAAGATGGTACAAAATGATGACTATAAGCTTGCCTTGAGCAACGTAGTGATCGCATATGTAGCCACACTGCGATTGGGATCCGCGATCAGGGTTTCGAGGTCAATGTTGCAGGTAGCGACGCTCGCAGGGTGTGTCAAGGCAAGAGCGGCAAGGGTGCGAGCAGCAGCGAATTTCAGGACGGGTTTGGGAGTTGTCAAAAAGACCTGGAGCACTAAAAGCGAGAATCAGTGTTATACAATTGAGCATGCAGCAGTTTAAGATAGAATGTACCAGAGATGGGTTTTGTCAGTTGTGCAGCAGTTACACCCTTCATCTCACAGATAACCCGCGCAGCCTCGAAGTTAACCATGTCACTCTTGTGTCTTAGCCAACCCTCGAGAAGTTCTAGCACTTGTCTCTGCATGCTGGGGAGAAGATTAATGAGAACTAGATGCAAATGAACAGAAAATCGCATACTTGGAGTCTTCTTCCATAACCTTTGCAGCATACCGAATGAGCATGCAGAGCGCCATCGGGTTTTTCAATGTAGTGCCGGCACCCGATTTCCCTCCACCCAGCTGCTGGATCATTTTGGTGACTGCCATCCTATCTTGTTGACGAATAAGATAGAGAAGGCCAAGTGCGTGGTATTGAGGGATATAGCTGGTCGATGGCAGAGTTTGTGGGCCAGATTGTTGGTTCGAGCCTCCGCCAAAGCCAAGATATCCGCCACCTCCACCGCTCGATCCAAAGAGGCTTGACGTCGATTTCGCGTTGACTGCCTCCTGTGCTTCGTTGACCCATCGCTTGACCACATCCTTCGCGTTAGGGAAGAGGTGGTATGCCGAGACAAGTGCGGCAGAAGAAATGGATGGATTCCGGTCGACGATCGCCGCTTTGAAGAAACGCTCAACGCCTTGAGCCATGGATGGCTGTACACGATAATTTAGATGTCAGTAAGAATAGTACATTTGGAGAGTTGTTAGGCACGCACGTCGATAATCTTGCATAGGGCACGGATTGCATTCGGACGGTAAATGACCTCCGAGTTGGGTTGCATATCCTTCATTATACTGCTGGTGACCATGATGACATCCTCCGCCGTTGTTGCAAGCTCTTTGATCGCCAGGTAAACGGCTTGTCGCAAAGCACTCTGCGATATACAAATTAGTTACACGTCCCGTTGTTCAGCGAGGGACGAGCGCGTACATCCTTGTGCTGGAAGAGCTTAGTCGTTCCAAAGAACAGTGTCGTGGCCTCCTGGGTTCCAAAAGTCTCGCCGACATAGAGAAGATAGACGATCCGGGTCAGAAGTGCCCTGCACTTTCTCGGACTGATTGGAGATTCATTGAACACGCGGGCCTCCTGGATTATGGTGGTTTTGTTGTTGTAGTAGGAGCTCAGGCCGCTTTCGTCCTCCTTCTTGGAGGCGAAGCTCAAGGCGAGAGACATTTTCAGGGCGTCGCAGTCGTATAATGTTGTCGAGACTGCAGACGATTATGTCGTGGACGTGGAAGAATTGTTTGGCAAAAGCGCGACGCTGTTTGGCATGGGCATCCGAGATGCCAATCTTGGCTCCTGACAGATCCCATGATGAGCTTGAATGCCATAAGGTATATATGGTGCATCGCAGCATTCTCGAGCGTCTGAATGTCTTCTTGAGCGCTCATCTCCTTACTCATCGCTTCAACGATGGACAGCCTTCATTCTTCTATGCAAACCCAGCCGCCAGCTGCTCAAGACGATTCGAAATCTCCCCTAGTAGTGACCATCGAACAGGTTCTGCAAGGGCACAAGGACGAAATATGGAACATATGTTGGAGTAATAATGGGAAATATCTTGCCAGTGCTAGCAAGGATCGCACTGTCATAATCTGGAAGAAAGAGGTGCGGACGATTGGTTTCTCAAATACCTCAGCTTCATGTCTGGCTATCAATAGGAGGCCGATATACCCACCAGTGGCTGGATTGCGCAGCATAAATTGCGCCACTCATTCCCGGCTGTCTGCCTTGCCTGGTCTCCAGACGACTCTGTTCTCGTGACGAGCGCAGATTCCATGATCAAATTCTGGGATACAACGGTCAGTAGATGGTTTGTTTGGAGGACGACAACCCACCGACTGGTCGCCACAGACTGGATCGTGTACCAACATTGTCGAAAAGTCCTCCGATACGATCACCAAGCTCGAATGGTTACCTGACGGATCTGGGTTCATCTCTGCTGGTTTAGATGGGAAGATTATCTTCTGGGTAATGTGTTGTGCCTCTCTTCTGTCGAACAAGGTTGCTCACTACCTTGCAGAATGCGAACGGAACGATGAAAGAGTGCTGGGATACTCATCTCAAGGTGTTCAAATTCACGATATCTCCTGACCTGACACGTCTGGTTGCCGTTGGCGAGCAATCTTTCGTCAAGAAAGACAACCTGGGGACATCGAAATTACCAGAGGATGTGACGAAGAAAAGGCGACTGTATTTCTACCAGATGATCACGTACGAGCTTCCAACAGGGAAGATACTGTCGTGAGTGAAGTTTGGCATCCAACGACTCCACCCCACATTTATCTTTTCTCTGCCTAGAACTATATTCTTCGAAGATGGTCTGACCAGTATTCGCATCACCAAAGATTCGAGATTTGCTCTTATCAATTGTGCCCCCTGTGTATGTGCCAGCTCTCCTTCAGAGAAAAATGCCCGACCAATTTACTGTCATTGCAGGGACTTGAGCTCTGGGATATTTGCGAAAGCCGGAAGGTCGAAGCATACGCTGGGCCAAAGCAAGAGCTCACGGTGATTGGGAGTTGCTTCGGAGGCGAGGAGGAGAAATATATCATCAGCGGTAGTGAAGGTCGGTGTTGTCACGCATTTCTAGTTACCTCGCGATGCTTACTTTGGCTCCAGATGGTCAGGTCTATATTTATGATCGAGACGATGGTGTCCTCTTAAACATCCTCTCTGGACATGGCAAAGGCTGTGTCTCTACAGCTGCTGTCAACCCATCTGATCACGAGCTCTTTGCCACTTGCTCGGACGATCGTACTGTTCGCCTTTGGCGAATGACAGATTCTTTCGATATCATTCGGCCCTCCGATATACACGACGATGATATTCACGATGACAATAGTCCTGTGGATCCTGCTGAAGACTCCTGGGTTTCTGTTGATGCATTGGATTGTGCTTGAAGCAGTTGTATCATTTCAAGTGGACATGTACGCATTGATTTCTCGCTCTATTGCTCAGATTTACTAGGAATATTGTATTTATATCATACTCATGACAAGAAATATACGCAACTTTAAAACTGATCTTCGACCAAGTCTTTTCAATTCTCAGGAAACATGAAACGTGCAGTCGTCATTGAGAGGCGCGCCGTTGAAGACTCCTCACCTTCCAGGTTTGGGAAACCCATAGGGTGCTCTTGACTTGCTTGCTGGGCATGAGAGTGAACTTGTGGGGGATTTTTCGATCGTGGCTCTCATCCCACCAAGACGGGTCAAGTGGTCTACATGCCCCATATTTGGCAAAAATGTCGAAGTCTGTCCTTGCGCCACCCTAGTCCGACCAGGTTATTCGGCACCTTCGAACGGCAGTACGAGTGTAATTTATTTATCATCTCTGTACAGTGACGCCTGGGTGTTGGTGCTGTGAAGACGGCCGGAGACACTTCTCCACCGAGTGATCCCCGGCGTAGCAGTACGTTATACGATCATCCTACTATCCTCACATATGTCCAACGACTCGGATACCTATCGATCAGCTGGAGTGACTCGTGGGTTGGTCAGGCGAGGGCTCGTCTCCGAGGGCCACTCAAGCTTCTCATTTCTCAGTAGGTATGACTGGCAAAGACATGAACCGACTCCGTCGAAGCCCACAGGTGCACATCCAATTAGACTATAGACGCTGAATCTCGTCCAGGTCCGGCAGGTACGCATCGATCAGCACCCTGCTGCCAGTGCCCGGAACTGCTAGTCACTTAGAAGCTAGAGTCACTTCCAGACAAAGAGCTTGAAAGCTGACCTCGGTCACCGATTCAGGCTATTCATAGTATCTGTATACACTTACTCAGCTATTTACTTGCTTAGGACCGAAAACCGAAGATCGTATCACACAGCTGCGCAGGGCTTAGTAGGCTGTAAGATGGGGTTCGGACCAGAGGTCGATATTCCGTGGAACCGAAATTCCGAGGACGACACTGTCGAATTCCTTCCGATGGTATACGGAGCACGGTGATATCTCTTGTCCATTTGGTGAAGAGACGAGAAGTCACGAAGACAGGGTATCATTCGGTAATCTTCTTGTGACATGATGCCAATGGCCTTGGGGATTGTGAGGTTGGTTGGGGAGAACTAGTCTGACATTGTGTTAGACTTGTGGGGCCAGCTGTACATCGACGTACACCTGCGGAATTTTCCAAGCTCAGGTTCTTCTGCAAAACGAGGCGTAAACTCTACCTTCTAGCATTGCCAGAAGAGGGATTTCCCTTCGCGTACCTACCAAAGTCCGAGAGCTACCTAGCTCATCACACCAGAAGGATAAGAACTGGAGAATATATCGTTATTCGTTACTACACAATGAATGCATCTTCTTCAGACTGACAGCGACGCCCATCCACCTACACACCGACGCCTATAGCCGAAAGCCTTCACCTCGGCCGCCAACCACCGACCACCCGCTGCCCACTATGCCGAATACGCGACGACCCACCCAACAGCTCCGATCTAGTAAGTAAACCAAACCGACATCCTCCCCCAACCACCAACGAGCTCGGCGCCCTCTTCCATCCCACTCGCCCTCGACGGGGCCTAGACCCGAGAAGAGGTGGGGGATGGAAGGACAAACACAGTGCGAGTATCTGACGAGAACCGAGACGGAGACGAGAATGGAGAGAACGTAGCACGATATCGAGACCGGGATTAATGTGAATGTGTGATGATGGGGCGTGAAGAGCGAGGAAGGGGGTGAAAGGTGATGATGAGACAGAATGGAAGGATGGTTCAGGAAAGGAAGAGAAAGGAGTGTTGTATGTATGAAGAGAAAAGAAACTGTTTGTGTTGCTTTCAGTATTGTGGAGTGTGAAACGAGAAAAAGAAACAGGTTGGACTGGAAGGGAAAGGTGCATCCAAAAAGTGGTGGGTACACACAAATATTGGAAAAGGAAAAGCGAACGGGCGCAGACTGTGGGATAATGTTTATACACGATGACGACGAGGGAGGAAATAGGTATACGCAACCGCCAAAATACCCACCACGACCAGCCCCGAGAAACAGGCTGGCAGTGGAAGTGAAAGGATACAGCGGGAGGGCAACGAAACCTGTAAGAGAAAAAGAAACAAGCGTCCGTTTTAATAAAATATTTCTTGACCAGGCATTTCGTAACAAGCCATTGTAGAGATGTTGGAAGTCGTAACGTGTGTCGAGGCCCCTGCCGAGCATTGCTTTGTGTGTGGTTTGAATGACGTATATGTATGCGTGGCGAGGGGAGGAAGGAGGGATGATGAGAAGGTCTATACCTCGTCTGCTTCCTGGTGAAGCGGTGAAAGAGAGAGGGCGACGACGGGCGGTCGACGAGGAGTGGCAGAAGACCAGCAGCGGAAGGAGGTAGACGTCGATCTACGCATTCACTTGCAGAACGAACTTGTGAACGAATCGACTCGAATGTGATGGCCCCACGCAGAGCTGATCCCCAACGTAAAACTTCGTGTCCGCCGACGACTGATGCACCCACAACTCGCTGTAGCCCCTATCACCGATAATCAGCACCGCCACCCCTCGACGTACGCCTCATTCAACCGGACAGGCCCGCAACCCAACCCGTCCCTCAAACCGAGCGAAACCCGCATTCTACCCCCCACCCCCCAATCGCCCGGTGTCCTCTTGGGACGCGCAGACTGAACAGACCGAACAAACAGGCAACCGGAAAGGAAAACAGATGCTAGATCCTGAACTGCCCGTTTACCAGAGTTCGGCATCACGTCCTCGAGCACCACGCTGCTGGGGGACAGCACTACCTCCAGGGACGGCGGTCTGTTGAGCCTGACGAGTGTGGGAGCGAAGCCTACAGAAGGGGGTTAATTATGAGCTCGTGCATCTTAATTCTATATCGGACGAGGTGGACCTACATGCGGTCACTGGCACGGTGCTCGTCCTCCTCTTGAACGACCTTGCGCCTGGGAGCACCCGACTTGGAACTCGAGCCTTGGGTGCCGTCTTCCTGGGCACCGCGCTGAACGCTCCAATCGAAGACGTAGTCGTACTGGTAGCCCTCGCGAACAAAAAGGTCGCGGAAGAGCTTGCGAAGGTAGGAGTAATCCGGCTTGTCATCGAAGCGAAGGGCGCGAGTGTAGTTCAAGAAGATTCCAAACTCGTTGGGGAATCCTCGGCAAAGGAGATCCGTAGGGGTCGTCATCTTCTTCTCCATGATACGGTCGTACTTCTGCTTCTTGGTGGCAGCCTTGAGACCCTGCCATGGGAGGGCACCGCGGAGGAAGTACATGAGGACGTAGGCAAGGGATTCGAGGTCGTCACGACGAGCCTGCTCAACGCCCAAGTGGGTGTTGATGGAGGTGTAGCGAGCAGTACCGGTCAAGTTCTTGTTCTCGCGGTAGGGGATGTGGAGGTGTGTCTTGGGATCACGGAACTTCTTTGCGAGACCGAAATCGATAACGTTGACCTGGTTGCCTCGCTTGCCAATGCCCATGAGGAAGTTGTCAGGCTTGACGTCGCGATGAATGAAGTTACGAGAGTGGATGTACTCGATGCGAGAAATCTAGGGATCGATATGAATGAATGATGAATTTGATAAATGCAAGGATAACGGACTAATTGGTCAGCAAGGAGGAGGACAGTCTTGAGGCTGAACTTGCGGTTGCAGAAGTTGAAGAGATCCTCAAGGGAAGGACCGAGGAGGTCCATAACCATGGCATTATAGTCGCACTCTGTGCCGAACCATCGGACGAAGGGAACACCCACGCCGCCAGCGAGGGTCTTGTAGACCTTTGACTCGTATTCGAGCTGGGGGTGCTTTGCCTTGACGGACTCGAGCTTGATGGCGACTTCCTCGCCAGAGATGATGTTGATTCCAAGGTAGATGTCACCTGAGGGAGAATGAGAAGGAAAGAAGAGTGACGAAGGAGAATGGAACACACCGAAAGAACCAGACCCTATCTTTTTCCCAAGCCTGTACTTGCCGCCCACTCTGAGATCGAGTCTGTGCGAAGAGGTATCGGCCATCGATTATGTGGGATAAATGGAGAAAAACTGGGAGAAGGGAGGTCAGTGAGAGGGAGTTGAGGGGGGAGATGGAAGGACGAAAGATGGGTGAAGGGCACTCTAAATAGTGGCAGCCATGTGGATCAAAGGCTGCCACTTCACGTCATGGTGCAAGCGACTGGCCAGGCGACAAGATGGCTGCACTACAGGGATGCGCAGTGTTACCATCTGGAGACCTTAGCCGTCGGGGCGAGGGACCGCCACGTTGTGAGCGTCAAGGACAGGTGGCCGCCTCAAGGCGCCTATGACGGGGTTCCGACAATTCCGAGGGGGCGATGGGGTGCAGCGGGCAATGTAGAAGGATGCAGTGGACGACGAGGAGAGGGGTACACACCTATTTTTTGAGGGGAAGGAGAAGGAGAGAGGGGAGATGGAGGGAAGAGGCAGACAAGACGAACTAAACAAGCTGTGTTGGCGGAGTTTAAATTGTGAGGATGGGTGCGCCCATCCACCTGCTCCCCGCATCCACTCGCAAAAATATCCCGGCTCTTGCCCGACCGTGTCCCTTTCCATTCGTCACGTCTCTCCGGGCACACACTCACCGTTCCACTGCGATGCATCGCGTACCCAGTACTATAGCCTTTTCCATGCATACTGCGCGATCATGGAGCTGCAGGGGCTGACCAGCGTCCTTGGACCTTGTCGTCCTCCTTCCTCCCTTCCACTCAACCTCCATTATTCCCTTCGGATCACCTCTACCTTCAAAAATCCGTCCTTTTTATTGTCTTGGCGGGTCTACACCCATGTCCGTGAGGGGCATCACTTCTTCCAGTCTGGCTCTCTGTCAAAGACGATCGTTATGAGGCTCAAGTGACTCTCGACCGCACTGCCTTCTCTTCGGCCAAACGATGCCCTTCCTCCAAGCACCGGACATATTCCGACCCCTCTCCCCTACTTATATACCCTTTTTTTGCTCTACGTAGGATAGCAAGCCGTGGTGGCGCCATTTACCCTTGATGATTGGGGTATGCCAGCCTCCGGGCCGCTCCTCTGTTCCCCACCATTGTTGTTCATGTTTCCTTCAACAGAGAAGAGAATAAAATATTTCGTTTAGACGCACGTTCTTCCCGCTGTACTCAGGGAACGGATGAAAATAAGATAAGCCAGACCAATCTGAGCGCGAGATGTATCAGAGAGTCTTGGGACTTTGCCAGCCAACTTTGATGCATTGGATCTCACGTTTTGATCAACGCTTGTTCCCAAACCACACGGTCGCTCTCCCCGCCCCTCGTTTCCCCGTCGACGCCCCGCCCGATACCCCCTTCTTCTGCCTGGAATTCCGTCGACAGTCCCCTCTTTTCATAATCGCCGTGCGAACACAGCAACCTTACCCACCATGGCCTACCGCCAGAACCACGATCCTTATTACAACAACAACCAGGACTACGCCGCCTACCCACCCGCGACCCCTGCCATGGGCAACACTGGTGTTCCCGACTACGCCTCGCAGACTCCGATGGCGCAAGGTCACCGCAACGACTACGACCCCTCCTGGGACTCCAAGTCCGCCAAGTCGTACAACAGCAGTTTCGCTGGCTCCCAGGCCCACCTCAATCCATACGAGATGGCCCAGGTGAATGCACCCCCCATGCCGCCAATGCCCTATCAGCAACAGCAGCAGTACCCCCCGCCCCAGCAGCGCCCGGGCATGTACCGCGACCCCAGTATTGCGGGGTGGTCTGTCGCTAGGGAGAAGCTCATGAAGCGCCGCTCCGTGAAGCAAGTGAAGCTCTTCCAGGGCAATCTCGTGCTCGACGTGCCCGTGCCATCCAACATCCTCCCCCCAGGCGGTGCGGAGGTTGAGGAGTTCTCCAAGATGCGCTACACGGCCGCCACCTGCGACCCGGACGACTTCATGTCCTCGCGCTATTCCTTAAGGCAGTACCTCTACAAACGCGAGACGGAATTGTTCATCGTGATGACTATGTACAACGAAGACGAAGTGCTGTTCGTCAAGACGATGAATGCGTAAGTTTTTCGTATCTCAAGTGTTGTCTTTAGCTTTGTTGAGCTAGGATCGCGCGTTTAGTGTCATCAAGAACATTGTACACCTATGCAGCCGCAACCGCTCGAAGATGTGGGGCCCTCAAGGATGGAAGAAGGTCGTCGTCTGCGTCGTTTCTGATGGACGGAACAAGGTCAACAAGCGGACGCTTCAAGTCCTCAGTCTGGTATAGTCCATTCCATTCCTTCTAGTGTCTTTCGAGATTGACACTAGTGCAGATGGGATGCTATCAAGAAGGTATCGCAAAGGATTCCGTTGGCGGAAAGGACGTTACAGCCCACATCTTCGAGTGCGTGTCGTTTTAAGATTTTGAATCCATCTCTCTCACCCTTTTTTATTTTTAGGTACACGACCAATGTCATTGTCACCGAGACCGGCGAAGTCTCTCAGAACGCCTGCCCTGTCCAGGTCCTCTTCTGCCTCAAGGAGCAGAACAAGAAAAAGTTGAACAGCCACAGGTGGTTCTTCAACGCTTTCGGTCCTCTCCTTAAACCCAACGGTATTAGTGTACCTTCTCCCTCTAGGAATTCTTAACTGAAAATTTCTAGTCTGTGTTCTCCTTGACGTCGGTACCAAGCCCACAGGAACTTCCATCTACGAGCTCTGGAAATGTGCGTCGCCTAGGAACCCGTATCAGGACGTGCGTCGCTAATGCTGAGCATAGGCTTCGACAAGCACAAGAATGTTGGCGGCGCTTGTGGAGAGTGGGTCCCGTTGATATCTTATCTTCAAGGACCCTGAATGCTTAACGCGCGTTACGGCAGGATCTGCGTCGACTCGGGACGCGCATGCAACCTCGTCTTGAAATCCCCTCTTGTCGCTTCTCAGAATTTTGAGGTATGTTTTCTTCCGCATATGTTGCAGCTTCCTGAGCTGAGGCGTCCCGTTAAGTACAAAATGTCGAACATCTTGGATAAGCCACTTGAGGTTAGTTATCTTCTACTCGAGTGTCAAAGTGGAGCAGAAACTGAACTTTTTTTCCCAGAGTGTCTTCGGCTACATCAGCGTGTTACCTGGTGCCTTCAGTGCCTACCGTTACAAGGCTCTTCTCAACGGTCCAGATGGCAAAGGACCTCTTGCCTCTTATTTCAAGGGTGAGACCATGCACAGCGGAGGAAGCGGTGCCGGTCTCTTCGGTGAGTATCTCTTTAAACAGCCGAGACAACCAAATTTTTCTAAGTCAGGAATAGAGCGCAATATGTATCTCGCAGAGGATCGTATTCTCTGCTTCGAGATCGTGACCAAGAAGCGCGAAGGATGGGTGTACGTCTCTGTCTTCTGTTGCTCCTCATCGCAAAAATGATTGAAGCGGATGGTCTATCCTAGTCTGAAGTACGTCAAGAGCGCAAAAGCCTCAACCGATGTCCCCGCCAGTGTGAGTTGTTTTGCTCGTTATCGCTGCAGCGTGTAGGTGCATGAGGCTCACATCGACACGCTAACCCAGGTCCCCGAATTCATCTCACAACGTCGTCGCTGGCTCAACGGTTCTCTCTTCGCCTCTATACACGCCACCGTGTTCTTCTTCAAGATATGGGGGTCTGGCCAGAATTTCTTCCGCAAGATTTTCCTTCAGGTGAGGAAGCCTCATTACTGACCTAGAAGGTTGTTCTTGACGTTCGAGGGACCCGCACAGATCGAGTTCATCTACAACGCCGTTCAGCTCCTGTTCACATGGACGTCGCTCGCCAACTTCTACCTCGCTTTCTTCTTCGTGAGTTTTCGTCTCGAGGTGGAGGCGTGGTGCGACCGCATCTCCTCTCTGATACTTTCGTTGCTTGCTGGACGCTGACCTTTTCATGTAGCTCGTGTCCTCTGCAACAAAAGAAGGCACAGAGGATGCTTTCAATTTCCTAAGCAAAGGTGCTGGCAAAGCCGTGTTCGAGGTCTTCCTAAATCTCTATATCGGTCTTCTGTTTGTCGTCCTTGTTTGTTCTTTGGGAAATCGGCCACAGGTGGGTATCTCCTCAACTCTATCGATTCCTGTGATTTGGTGCAGATATCTGAGATGTGACTATCACCTTCAAGGGCTCGAAATGGACGTATACGGTCGCGATGTTCCTCTTCGGCTTATGTAACATCATCACGACCTGGTGTGCTGGCTTTACGGTTTATCTCGCCGTTCCTCATGACATCGAAGGATGGAGGAACTTCCCGCAGTATGTACCAAGAAACTTTCTAAATGCTTGTTACGGTTAAGTTAACGGCTATTCTCGTAGACTGTTCAAGGAGAACAAGACACTGCAAGAAGTCGTCGTCGCCCTCCTCGCCACGTATGGAATGTACATCATCAGCTCGTTTATGCATCTCGAGCCCTGGCACATGTTCACCAGCTTCGCACAATACATGTTCCTCCTCCCGTCGTACGTTAACATTCTCATGATGTACGCCATGTGCAACTTGCACGACGTCACATGGGGTACGAAAGGAGACAACGGTGCCGCAAAGGACCTCGGCGGGGCCAAGAAGGTCAAAGGCGAGGACGGCAAAGAGATGATGGAGGTCGAAATTCCGACAGCTCGCGAAGACGTCGAACAGCTCTGGCAAGCGTCTGGGGCGGCTCTCAGACACCCACCACCCGAAGAGAAGGAGCATCGCGATGCCACCACCAAGCAGGCTGACCATGACAGAAACAGCCGCACCAACGTCGTCCTTGCGTGGGTCGGTTCCAACATGTACGTGTATTCCGTCTTCCCCGTTCCCATCGAACGTCTATTCCCCCATTTTCATTGAATGCTAATGCGCATGTGTGTTTCATCTGGTTTGAAATAGGATCATGATTCTCTTCTTCACATCCCCTGCGTTCACGGCATGGGTCGAGGAGCACGTCACGAAGGACGGCAACACCGCTTTCAACCCTTACCTCTCTTTCCTCTTCTATGCCTTGTAGGTGTTCATCTTATGGTTTTATGGCCCCTCATGCTGATATGATTAACAGTGCTGGCCTGTCACTTATTCGTTTCACTGGGTCCTTACTTTACCTCCTTCTCCGGCTAGTGGGCCTATGATGTGGCCTGGTTCATGTCCCATCTCTTCCTTTCGTCTTCTAGCGCGTGCTGCCAATCTTATGAATGAAGCATTTAATGCCCTTTTGTATCCTTATCTCGTTTCCGCCTTGTAAATTGATTTTGCGAGGCCCACGCACTACGCTGCAGGTCCTGCTTCCTTTTTCGAATCTCATACCCAGGAAACCAACTGTTTAAAAATTTAATGTGTCTCAATATACATATGCTCATGCAAGATATCTTTTCAGCGTTTCAACGGTGTTGATTTCGTGCTGCCCACTCACCCCTGCAAGATATGCAGCGAGAAAACGAGGAAGACGAATGACTGTACTCCTAAAGCAAAAGATAATAGAAGATTAAGAATAACAAACTACAATGATATTGAAGTCGATGAAGATGGGATTTAACGAAAAAGGGTATGATCAATGCAATGCAATAAGGTCCGAGCGAGTACTACACTACTGTTGGTCAAGTGAATTATACGGGTAGGTCAATGTGCCCGCTTTTGGTGAAACGAACTCGAACTGTGAAGCATCAAAGCTGGGTCGTGTCTCCTGGGAGTCGCGGGACGAGGTCATTGATCGTGGGGGAGAAGTCGACCTTGTGCCTAGGGTGCCTTGTGGTGGAGGTGAGTATGATAGATCCGTCGACGTTGACGAAGCGGTCAACTTCGACCGTTGTGACGGTCGCTGTTCGAGGCCTCCAGCGGCGCCATTCTTCGCGTTGATAAACTGGGTGGGTATCTGAGGACTCGGCGGCAGCTCAGGCGAAGTCACAGAAGACCTTGTCGACCCAAAGTTGATCACACTAGGCCTCCGGCCCCGAGAATTGCCATTGGCTCCTGGCCTCTCGAAACTCGAACGCGGCTGCGGCTCTGTCGAGCTCGACGCAATTGCCCCATTGGAGTTACTATTGATGTTTGAAGACGATTTCCATTTCAATATCGACTTGCGAGCCACGTTCTTCTCCTGCTCTGGGATCGCAGGCAACGGCGGAGGGGACGGTGGACGAGGAGACTGCCTTGCTGGCGGAGACCTACGAATTGGGTAAGGAGATTCCTGATCGAAATGAAGGCGATCCAGATTTGAGGCTGATCTGGAAGCTTGCATATGGGGAGTGATTATCGGTCCACCAGTTGGGCTGGCATTTCGACCTGGGAAGGATGGGACAGCAAGTTGCTGGAATTGGGGTGCTGAGGGACCTGCTAGATCTAATGAAGGCCGAGAAGGGGGTGGTGGGGGTGGATAATCCTGGGAGGGTCTGCGCCCTGGGTGCAGTTGATCTTGCGATCCACGAGGAACCTGTGGTGTTCCACCACTCGGTTGGGGTGAAAGTCGCCCGAAGTTGCTCGGTGGTGGGATGTCGGGCATATCAGGCAGGTCCAGCTGTTCCTGCGACGGCCGTTCTGGCCGTTGGGGGGGTGCCACGGGTGAGGTTCTGCCCGAGGAGGTAGTAGTAGGTGTAGGAGGTGGTATTGATATGGTGGAGCTTATTGATTTATTATTGCTCTTTCGCCAGAGCTTCCTGATACTTTTCACAGACATCAAGGTAGACCTATTCGAGGACTTGGCGGCAAGCGCGTTGACCTCCTCGCCGTTGAGAGAGTCAGCAGAGAAGCGGCTCGTCGTCGTCCCAGAGCGAACACGTCCCCTGGTCTTAGCGTCACCCTCAGCGATTATTTCCAGCGTCTGGGTGCTTCCACGTCCAATGGTCATGGTATCCCAAGACGTGCCTGACGAACGCGGGTCATACGGTTCAGGCGTGGAGGGATAACGACCGAATGGATCAGGAGATAGAGGAATAACAGGCGACTCCGACGGAGGATCATCATTACGCCTTGCAGGTGCCACTGGAGGGTACAATGTAGTCTCGTCCTCAAGCTCCTTCTTGCGCTTCTCGGTCTCTGAAGGTCCTGTTGACGGTCTGTAGGTTGGCTTGTACGACTTCGGCGCCGATGTCGTGATGCCATTGACAGCCAGACGAGGGGGCGAAGGCGGCGCGTCTGCGTTCACTTTCTCCTTGATCTGGGAAAATGGTACGGCAGGCCAAGAATGGCCAGTAGCTTCTGTAGGTGTCTCGGGCGGGTCAGGATGTTGAGGAAGACGGGGTGGTGATAACGGCGGGAAAAAGTCACGACGCGCACTTCCTGGAGAGAGGGTCAATTTGGTAGGCGAGCTCGAAGTCGATAAATTCGCTAAATGGAAGCTGAAGCTCTGCTCTTCTTCGAGATCGGTTTTCAGCATGCGAGGAGAGAGCTGGGCCATGGTCTATGTACGAAAGGTGAGAAAAATCAATGCAGCAGAGAGGAAAAAAGGCTTACTCTTTCAATCTCGTCAAGCTGTGCCCTGAGGAGATACTGACTCCTTCGATGATCATTAGGGTCGTTATCATCGAACTGGGACACACAAATTACTCAAAGTCCAGCAAAGGCAAACTAGCTCCACTTACATCCTCTGTAGAATCCAAGCCAAGGTCAAGATCGTCAAACACTGCTCCTCCACGCTTCTCCGACTCCGCAGGGCTACGAACGCGACTATACTCGCCCAACTCATCACGAATGTCGTCTCGGTTGGGGTCATCTTCATCAGGAGAGTCCCTCAAGTATGCAAGACCGGCACTTTCGCCCGCAGGGCTGGGACTTGGCTGAGTGGAGACAACCGTCGTACCTGCGTCGTGAGGCTTCAAGACCAGCGGAGGAGGAACCTTTTTATTTCTCTCCGGCGAAGGGATCGATACGGCCAGCTGCGGCTTGCCCATCTTGTCCAGCATCTCTCTCACCTCCTCCTCCTCCTTTGTTGATACACTATCATCATCCTCGAAGTCGTCGGGGAGTCGACTAAGTTCCTCTCCAGTAAGTGGAAGGTCGACAATATTCGGGTTAGAATTCCTGCGTTTATCGCCGTTCTCCGCACGAATGTCTGCCCAGGTATCAGCGTCGGTTCCGAATACGTCATCCAAGGGGTCCTTGCCTCCAGTAAATGATGACACCTTCGCTGTGGCGTCCTCAACAAGGTCTCCGTGCTCAGAGTCGCTATCAGAGTCCTCCAAGTCCTGAGGTGAGTCCGAAAGTCTCGCATAACCTGTGTTCTTCTCTCCCTGCTCCGCCTTGAGTTCATCCGAAGCAATACCAAGTCCGAATGGATCCAACTTCTTCTTCCTGCCCATTATCAGCTCAATTGGCGGCGCGCGTTCTCTTGATCCATCGCCTTCCTCACCATCCTGCCGACTGGTGTTGCTGTTCTTCCGGCTATTCCCCGTGCGCTTGGCATGATTGGCCTTCCGACTTCTAATCCAAGGTTCGTACCACCCCGCCTTCCGTCGGTCGATATCGAATTCTACCTTCGCGAGAATGGGTATCAGTGACGGCGAATTGAGGCCGGGTAGATCGAGAGAGTTCGCGCGGACGCCAGCATCTTCAACTGATGTATCAGGCGTTCCAGGTTCCGACTGCGAGACGGATGATGGGGGTGCAGACTTGTTGTTCGACCTGATATCAGAGTTAGAGGACGGCGTCGAGGGAGCAGTTGCGATCGGATACGTTGGTTGAGGTGCATGGGGAACAGGCGGAACAGGCTCGGGCACTGGCGAGGTGATGAGCGGTCGCAAAGGTGAATTGGGAATTTCTTGAGGAAGGAAGGGCGTCGAGCGAGATGCAGGTCCTAGGCCTAGTAACTGGGGTGTTCGTGGGGTGTGTGGATTTGGACTCAGGGATGGCAGAAGCAAATCATCCCGTTGTTCAGTTCTCAGAACGCGAGTCCATAAGTGCTTCCAGATCTCCTCTGACAACCGTGGGCCGGGTTCGTCCAACCCTTCCGAGGATTGGGGCGAAGGGCTTGTCGCGGTATTTCTCACCAAGTATAGTATGAGACCAGTCGAGCTGGGAAGCGCGTATTCCTTCGCAATGGCCCCTAATTGCCCTTGCAGCGTGGAATGCACGGGCACAAGGGTACCGCGTCGGAACTGCGTGTGATACCCTGGAGCGTTTGGCGGGGGCGGCGAGGTCATATCATCGAGATTATTGGAATCATGGGGCAGGTGCATTGGAGGAATAACGTGCAACAGGAATTTGGAAGTCGTCGGGGCGTAGGAGCTGAACCCCATTGAGGATGCGGCGGTCGAAGGAGTAGGAGAACGCCTGAGATGATCGATAGAACTGGCCGTCTCCGAGAAGGAGCGCGATAGGAACGAAGAGGAGTTGTGACTGGCTGGTACAGGTGTTGAGACTCCCAGTGCGTTGGCTAGTTTGGCGAGCCGGTGAGGGGGTAGTGGTGATTTCGGGGGGCGCCATGTTGGTGATAATGTAGCAGAAATCGGCGACAGATGCGATGAACGAGGCGTTCCGTTCCCATTCTCATTGCCAGAAATCGACATGATGTGTTCGTCGCGAGGCGTCTAGGTTGTAGAAGAGTCGTAGTGTGCTGGGATGAGACTGGGCCGACTGATGGGTTATACCGAGGGATGCAACATTGAATACGGCTGCTCGAAGGTCAGTTAGCGGTATTAGCGAAAGATATCACATCTTGGTTGAACTCACCAACTTGGATCACAGGAAAAACACACAGGAGAAAGCTAAGAATAGTGTCGTGATCGTGATACCCGTAGACAGCTAACGACGGGGGGTATGGAGGTCTTGAGAAGCGTTAGGTCGTACGGGCCACCGAGAATTAATTGAGGAGGATACTATGTACCTGGAGGAACAAGGGCAGCGGGACGCCCAAAAACACAGTAGGGGTGGGAATACGAAAGCAGGCACAAACACCGACCGGCCCGTCCTTCCATCTCTCAATCATGTTTAAGTTCGTCAGTTTGTCGGCGTCGACGCCAGCGACGCTCTCTTCACTACGAACGGCGTTTAGCCTTTCGACATACCGGCTCTGTGGCAGTCTCATTTACGATTTCTCCCGGAGCAAGAGACTCTTTATTTTTCTTCTGCGCGCACATCACTCTCTGTTCCAGAATCCAATTTGCTATGTTGGTGAATAGTAGCAAACGGAGCCGGGAGCGAAAACATTATACCGTTATTCGGGTTGGGCAAGATTGAGGATTTTATTGTGGGTCCCTGATGACAGAAATGTAGTTAATTATTATGTAGCCGTCGCTCGAGAAACAAGAGAAGCTCGCGGAATAAAACAGAGTTGAGCGGCAGAAGTCGCGATGGGGATGACAGGCAGAAATTTTGCGTACAAGGGGATAAGAGGGAAACTGTCATTGGTTTGGTTGCATTGTTGTGGGTGCCAAATAGCAGAGCGAACAAAGGCCGGGTGGCGCAAAAGAAAGTGCGGTTCCTACTTGGTTCTTGACCGAGGACTCTTCCGTCGTCCGTCCTGGCCTCATTGTTTCTACCTTTTCTTCTTCTTTTCTTCTCTCTTCACGACCGTTTCTCTTTTTAGTCACGACACCTTTGGTCCTCCAGAGCACGACTGCCCACGAAACCCCCTTTCACTCCATGGAACAGCATCAAATGGCCGACGATAACAATCCTATCAATGCCCAAGCGTCCTACAACTTCTATCCGCAGGAACAAGACCCTGCTTACAACATGTCCTACAACCCAGCCATGGGGCCATATCCTGGGATGCAACACGCGCCTGCAACGCGAGGTATGTTCTGCCTCTCTCTTGCACGCCGCAGCAACCGTCCATCTGATAATCACCATTTTCGCGTGTTTAGGCCAGATGGTTTCGGATATGCACCAAC